TATATATAATATAATTGAATGTTAAACAAGGATAAATGATGCATCATGTGAAGCGGAACGCAGCCTATATATATATATATATATAGGCTGCATTCCGCTTCACACATGATGCATCATTTATCCTTGTTTAACATTCAATTATTCAATGAATAACAAGAATAAATGCAGCATGCGCATCATGTGTAAAACGGAACGCAGTCATAAACTTTATTACTGTAGATCCTTCTTACGTACAGCATGCGTTTTACGTTATGAAATCTCTTCCTTCATCTCCCGATTATATTTCTGTTTCCCAGAGAGAGATTGCAGTATCATATTATGATACTTAATGGGTCGTCTACAATACACAGAGTAAGAAATAAGTAAAAAATTGACCAATCACAGTCGATTATTCTTCTCGCATTCGACTGGGATTGATTAATTTCTTATTTTTATTTTTTACTCCATGTATTGTAGACGATGCATTTATCCGTCTCTGTATGTCGGAAGTTAAATCGAGGAAAGAAGGAAGAAGAATTTTGTAACATAAAATGCACGCCATGTGCGAGTTGAAAGGCTCTGTCATACATCTTTCGATCAGTAATAAGGTTCTCTTTAGTACGATGACTATGCGAACAATAATCGAAAATAATCTTATTAGAGGTGAAAACGTTTATTACAGACACGTACAATTATGCATGATATACAATTACAAAGAATATGTACTTACGCTTTCGATGTCTTAGTCCGTTCGACTGCGAGGTCTCATCCCTCGCGCATTATCCCTCACACTCAGGAAATCTTTTTCTTCTTAATGATTCCCGCTTCCCGAAATAAAGAAGTCGATATAGTCATATCTTAGGACGGAATCAGATTACGCATTGAAAATTGAGATTGAAAATTGAAAGATTAAAATTTGACTAATGAAAACAAAGGAATTTTAGCTCCTATTATTTGGATTGGTCATATTTCAATCTTTTAATCTTCAATGTGTAATCTGATTCCGATCTTATAGGAGATGCAAAACTAAATATAATGCAATACCCGCGCAAACACTGGGCGCTTGTGTCTACAATGTCGTCACGCCAAGTCAGGATGAACAAACGGATCCAAAATCGCGGAATAGTTATGTAACTATATGTATATATACAAACTATATATGTATATATACAAAGCTCAGTCTAAGTCAGTAACACTTACAAAAATATAAAAAGGAAAAGCAGAGTCGAGACGCGTCCGTCGCAAAGTGGTTGTTCAGAACTGAACACACAAAATGATGTCGTCAACACAAAATCATGGCGAATCATGGCGAATATCGTACGCGCCGTACCAAACGACGGTTAAAATGACAATCGCATTCAGTAAATTCAACTGCCACGTGCTTGTCGCGTGCTGTGCGTAGCAATTTGCTTTGTCAAGAAGCATCGTGTACGTATATACAGAACTAAAGTCTCTTCTACTAAGATCTAAGATCGCAAGTCGTAAAGGCTATAATACACGTAGTAAGCTTGATTTAAAAAGTAAGAGTAGATGTAAGAATAGATGTAGATGTAAGCGAAATAAATTAATTTTATTTCTTACTTTTACTTTTTAAAACCAAACTTTTTACTGTATTGTAGATGAGTCTTAATAAATTAACCAAACATATAGTGAATTCGGTTGGATGCACTAGTATATGTTAAAGTCGTTACATACTAATTTCTGTGGAAAAGTAAATGTACACTCACGCGCAAAAAAGTGAGAAATATTCCCTAAACTTAGGGAATATTTTTAATCTTCGAATAGCAGTAACAGTAGCGAGAAATCATTATACTGAGATGTTTAAAA